GGAGAAAAAAAAAAAAAAAAAAAAAAAAAAGAAACAATGTTCATACTACTTTTAATTGTCACTTTGCTTTCCTGAGAATTTGTTTTTGTTCATAAACATTTTTATCTTATGATAATAATTGCAATATATAAAATAATTCCCAATGGAATGCTTATTTACATATTGGTCGAAGATCACTGCTGAGGAAGGTAAGTCTATGGAAAATTGAAGTAAAATACTGTGAAATTGGGGAGAAAAATCTCATCCTTTTTCTTGTAAATTTAGTACACATTAGATACATCAAAAAATTAACTTGTATAGTTTTATACAAGTAATTTATAGAATTACTAAGGTCTACATCTTAATGACAATTTCATATTTTTTGCAGTTATTATTAAGTGATTTGTGCATAGTTTTGATTTCTGTGAAAATATATTTTAACTTTTGTATAAATAGAATCATAGAAGAATTCACATGCCATACTTGAAAGCCTGAAATAGCTTATTAATTAGAAGATTTTCTGGCGTATTGGTCATATAATTGGTTTTACTTGTGCTTTCACAGATCTCTAACAATGTGCTGGAACAAATCACCAGTTTTGCGTCAGGCACATCCTATCATCTCCCTTTGGCCCACCATATCCAGCTCATCTTTGATCTCATGGAACCAGCACTGAATATCAATGGACTGATTGACTTTGCAATACAGGTGTGTAGGCTGCTTTTCTTGCTTTTAGGAAAGCAGACCTACCATTCATGATGGAATTTATTTATTGATTTCTTTTTTCTTGAGAAATTTAAAAGGATTTATTTACTATATTTTCTTCAAAATGGGATCTCACTATGTAGTCAGGTTACTCTTAAACTCTTGCTTTCGTGTAATCTTCCTGCCTCAGCCTCCCACGTGCTAGGACTATTAGCATTTGCTACCATGCCCTTTCTAAATTTGATTTTTAATTCATACATGAAAACATAAAAATTGTACATATTCATTGAGTCCCCTATGCTTTGGTACATATATACATTGAATAATGTTTATACCAAGCTAACCGTAATTCATTTTTCATTTATGTAGAGGTGCTTATGGTAAACACTTTCAAAATGTTTTCATTTTGAAATGTACAGTAGATTGCCATTAATATAGTCATCCTCTTGTGCAACAGCACACCAGCACTTTCGCTGCTAACAGTAACTTAGTACCTGTTGACCAGTTTCTCCATCCTTACCCATCGCCCCTCTCCGGACCTCTGGTAACTATGGTAACTACCATGCCTTCAGAGACCCAGTCACATTTTAATAACTGAGTCATTCTGAGTTAACTGTCTTCAACTAGTATTTCAATTATAGCTGTTTTCATAGTTTTCAATTAGATAATAATTGTTGCTAAAATATGTCACTTAAAAATGCAAGGTTTTTGGAATATTATATTGTCTTCTATTATTTTGCTAAAGTAATGATGAAAGATTATTTTCTATCTATAGTAGAGTGTACTTTAGGCCGAAATTTGAAAAAGCTCATATACTTTAATTTTTCCCACTATCATTCTGTGCACATTTGAGTTTATTCCTTGTGCTGTTAGTAGATATTAGACTTGGTTTCAGTTTTTTTTTTTTTTTTTGTAGTAGGATTAGTTCTATAAGAAGACTGTAGCAATAACTTATTTTTTATTAAAAATAAGAGGAACAAGGGCAAAAAAGTGAAGGGTAGTAGTGTTGTCTAAAATTACCGAGTCTAGAGTCTTTGGCTACCATAAAGTTTCGGTACCTATTTCAGCACTGGCTACTTCCTGATTGTATACACCCTGATGTCTAGACAGAAGAACAAGTCTGTTAATTGGTAAAGGCTTAAAAATATATATATATAAACCCTTTTATTCACTTGTTTGTGTGTTCTGAGGTCGTTGTATACCAAGTGACAGCATCTTCACAGTTTTTAGAAGTGTGATTTTCGCGTTCATTTTGGCGTAATGTTTTTCAATCTTTTCTGTTGTAGTTACTAAATGAACTGAGCGTTGTGGAAGCCGAACTGCTCCTAAAATCTTCCAGCCTGGCAGGAAGTTATACCACAGGACTGTGTGTCTGCATTGTGGCTGTTCTCAGGCGGTATCACAGCTGTCTGATCCTAAATCCTGATCAGACAGCCCAAGTGTTTGAAGGGTTGGTACATGAAATGTCATTATTAGTTATTTAGTTCCAGGATTTGTAATTTTTATGGTAAAATTTTATGGTTTTAAGAGGAAAGTAGAACTGATACCTGGTTTAATAAACATAGTTAATTGTTTTCATTTATTGGAGGAAATATAAGTAATTTTATTCTTTTTAATTATTATTCCTTCTTCTTTCTTTCCTGCCTTCCTTCCCACCTTTAGTTTCTGAGAGTACAAGGCTGATCAGTTATAGCACTGTTATTTATGTTACCCAGCCTCTTGGCTTACTATACATAAATAATGATTATTTATAACTTCTCTTTTCGTGTAATTTCAGTTTATATTTGGAAAATCCAAGATTGAATAAGCTCTGCACATCTCATTGTGATTTGGTTCTTTGATTTCATATTTTTCATTAATTAATGATAACTTTGATAAAAGGAAAATTAGGACCGATAATTTTCTTAGTCTTTTCATATTTGTGTGTACTGTTAGCTAGGATTTACGCTACTACCACCATGAAACTTGACTCAGGAATTATCCAGTATACCAGTTAGAGACTGAGGCTGTGGGGAACAAAGCTCTGAAAACTTCTGTCTGCCCCATACCTTTTCCCTAAAGTGTTTTGTTGAGGAAAAGGGGGAAAATAAACAACAACAAAATCACAGCCTGTTTGTCCTTTTTATCCACTTTTTTTTCCTCCAGGGCTCAAAAGAATCATGGAGATCTATGACTTCATAGTGCCTTTTTGTAAATAGTCTAGCACCTGTAACTAAATTACTTGTTATTCTTCAAGTGACATCACTTGACGGCAGCTTTTAGGAAAATAAAATGCTACCATATACAGGTATTAATTGCACTCATGGATTAGGAAGTGAAATCTGAAATACTCAAACTTAAAACATCTATCTTAGAATTAAGGAAATACAGTAGCATTGCTGTAAGGTTGAAGTTTTTGTATTGTTCTACAGGTCAAAAAATTGAGGTTCAGGGCTGGGGATTTAGCTCAGTGGCACAACGCCTGCCTGGCAAGTGTGAGGTCGTGAGTTCGATTCCTGGTACCAGAAAACAAACAAACAAAAAAAGAAAATGGAGGTTCAGACTTTGTAGATGAAGTGCTCGGTTGTGAAGTGACGTATGCAGTGTCACGTGGTCAATAAGTCTCACAGTTTCATGGCGGTTCTTCTAACTGGGAGTTCCTTCGTGCTGCTTAGCTCACACCACGCTTTTAAAATGGTTTGTGAGAACCTGTTCATTGGTCACGTTAGCAGTTTGCTGAACTGTGACAAGTTTGTTGTTTGATTGTTTTCTTTTGGCTACTTCTGTGAATGAGCGCACGGATCACAGAATGAGCTTCGTTTTCGTAATCTCTGGCAAGTCAGAGAAGTTGAATACACCAAGTGTTGCCTACTTAACAAACCCTCAACCAATGTTTGTTTACTGTAGTCACAGAATAATTCTTTGGTTAACAGGCCATATGTGGAATTTTTTGTTTATATAATTAACAACAGATAAAACTGTTACACACCTTCCCTTTTCCCTTCCCTTCCCTTGCCCTCACCCTTTCCCTCTTCCTGTCTTCCTTCCTTCCTGCCTTCCTCCCTCCCTCTCTCCCTCTCTTCCTTCCTTCTTTGTGGTGGTGAGGATCCAACCCAAGTCCTCACACATCGTTAGCAAGCACTCGTCCACTGAGCTACATCTCTAGCCTACTACTTTTCTTTTTAATTATGTTAACATTTTTGCTCCAGTTGGTAGCTTTAATCTACTGCTGGGTGGCACCATGTGACACTCCTTCACAGGGACTGGGATGCTATGCTGCTGTTTCTTCATGTAATTTCCTGGGATCCACCTTTGACCCCTGACCCTTGTGATTTACTCCTTCCTGGCTTGGGCATCCCAGACACCTTCCTGCTTTTCCCTGTCCCCTGTACCATGGAGAGAGGCTAGTGTGGGAGTTGGGCAAGCTAAACTCCTGATTCTCTTTGCCATTGTACAAGTCACTTCACGTTTTTGTGCCTCATAACCCTCTTTGAACAGTGAGTAGGGTGAATTGTGATTTCCTAGAGCCCTGTTCAGATTTACTAATGTGAATTTTGTCTGTCACTATTAGGGTAGTGTTATGCTCAGCTCTTTAAGAGGACTCAGGATGGTGCTGGAATCAGACCCATGGGTGTGTTTATCTATGCCCTGTGGACAGACGCTATCGTTCTCTGGGGGAAAATGGCACAGAGTTGTAGTAATAATTGTTCTTCTGATCTAAGGGAGTTATAGAGGATGACACTAAAGAGAAGGGGCTTTATCTCCTTGTATGAGATAAACTAAGGTAAATTGGTTTCTGCTTTGGATAAATAAATGGAATATGACTCCAAATCAGAGTTCATCAAATTCAAGCCAGAATCAGCTCTTGAAAATGAATTTACCCGATTTTACTGCTTTGAAAAATTGTTTCTTTACAAAGGATTCTTGGAATTTGGGGAATCTTTGCGAACTAATTGTGCATTTCTGTACCTTTGAACTGGAGAGGGGTTCTCTACCTCCCCTTTCTTTTTGTGTCCTATTCACAGCAACTTCATCGGTGGATCCCTCCACATACGTAAACCATCCTTCGCTGCTTCTGTTTCTTGTTGTCAGTGACATTTCTAAAGGACTTTTCATATCTAGTATTTCAGGGCTGTATTAGGGTAATGCATAATTCCCTCGTGTTTTGAAGATCTGCGTAACACACAGACATTCCCACTTTTAATAGATTCAGACGATAGAATGTTATTATCAGAACACGAGGCTCACACTCTGCCTTTCTGCTCCCAGGTTATGTGGTGTGGTAAAGCACGTTGTAAACCCCTCCGAGTGCTCTTCCCCTGAAAGATGCATCTTAGCCTACCTCTATGATCTTTACGTGTCGTGTAGCCACCTCAGAAGTAAATTTGGAGACCTCTTCAGGTGGGTAGAAGGAATTGACAGGGATGGGAATAGGATCACGCCTGTGTTTGCTAGTGATTCCACGTTATTGCCTTTTTTGTTTAATAATGAGAGTTATTATTTCAACTAATGGTAATTTTGATATAGTCAAGATTTGTTTAAATTGAATACTAAAATATATAGTGATAAAAAGGTAGACCATTTTAAATATAACAATGTGATCATAGTTTTTCCCTGCTAGATTGAATTGCCTTTGGGTCATAAGCTTTCTAAGTTTGTCCAATTTTATGTCTTCAATAATTAAAGAATATTTTATTTAAGATTTTACATTCTCTGTTTTACCAATATAGTACACTTGTAGATGTCATATTGAATTACTGATCAATTCTTAATATGTCATTATATTTTTAGTTTAAAATTCAATTTGAATTATAAATCTAATAAAAGACTCCTTGTGGCAGTATTTTTGTGTCTTGCTCAATCTGTATACCTCTTGGTTTTAATATCGCATTTTCTAGGACAGCTTTTCGTGTTACTGTGGGTAGTTCTAGTATTGTCTAGACACCATGAAGCTGTATTTCCTAGTGACTTACGGAATCTTGTATAGCTTCATTTAGTCTTCACAACTTTTTAAAAACTGTTTGTACATTTTTACCTCTCTTTAAAAAATTCACTGTTTAACAGATTACTTTTTCATGTGTGGATGAACTTTTGAAAAAAAATGACCAATATCTTCTTTAAACCACATTAAACCAGTATGCATTCATTAGTGTAAGGCAACCAGCTTCATATTACTAATTTTATTTGATTAATGTTCAGCTTGATAAATACTATCTAATGTCTTCTCGTATAATGAACATACATGAGTTAATTATAAGAAGATACTGTAAAGTCTGTAATTAACTTACTTGCTGTCTTTGACTTCATAGGTGGCATTGTTATTAGGTCATACGTTTTATTACTTTTAATAAATCTTACTGCTTAAGCATTTTATGTTTAATGATTCCAGAACATTGTATTTCTACAAAAGATATTTTTATATTTTTAGTCCTTATCCAGAATTCGTATTGAATTACCTTTTGCAGGAAGTCTAACCGCCTACCACAAATTACTGTGTTTAGCTATGATTACAATTTTGAAATGAACTTGCGAGAAATAATTCTGTATTTTGCCCATTCTTCTTTTGGAACATTCTTTCAGATCTATTTGCATGCTGACTTCACTTCATCTGTGTCTCTCTCAAGTGGCACCCCCAACTCCATGACATTCTTTTTATCTTAGCACTCATTACCTTTGTAGGTAACACAAATGCTGAAACATAAAAACTTATTTAATGTTATTTTGAGGAATTTTAGATTATTAATTATAAATAAGGGGGCAGTAGGAAGAGAAAATATCTGGCAGAAGTAATTTGGGATTCAGAAGGAAAAGGAGAGTGATCAGTTATAGTTTCCTTTGTTCTCCCATACCGTGTATCTAGTTTGTTTAATCCTATGAGCTCTGCCTTCCAATTATGTTGAGAATATAGCCACTGTCTGACATCCTCATCATCATCACAGTCATCTCTTGCTTGGGCAACTACAGAGTCATCCTAACTGGTGACCCTGCTTGAATGTTTGATGTTTGTGGGCGTATTTTTAATATACTGTCCACTAAGGACTTCCACACTCAGAGATGACTCCAGTGGCATTCCATCTCCTCACCATAAAATTAGACTTCAGAATCTGTAAGATCACGCTTCTATCTTCTTTCCTCCGTACACTTGGTTCTGGCCATGCAGACCCTCTTCCTGGTCCTCAAACACTGTATGAATGCTCCTACCTTGGGCTTTTACATTTGCTCTTGCCTTGCCTTGTGTACTCTCTACAGTTACTGGTGTGTTCACTTTATCCTTCATTCATAGCTTTGCTTCTCTCATCACAATCCCCTTTCTGGTCATTCTCTCAACCGTGGGATTCTGCTGCTTCCAGCACATCATCTGAGTATTATGGCCTGGCTCCCCACTGGAATGTAAGCTACACACAAGCCAAAACTTTTATTTTTCTTTCTTTCTTAACTACTGTATCCCTTTGCCTTAAAGGGTTTGAAGCTTTTCGCAGGCACCGTAGAGATGTCACTTTGTGGCCCCAAACACTTGCTTGTGGACCTTACTGTGGAGTGAACGATATATATACAAGAAAAATCATATTTTTAATAGTATTGATAAAAGATGGAAATGTGTTACCATGGAATGTGTTAGGTTTCAAAATGATCCTTTGTAAACTACTTGTGGGAGTCTTAGGACATCCTTTTCCACAGAAATGATGTAATAAATATTTTCTCCTGTTACACTGCGTAGAGCTTTCAGTTTTGGTTTATGTTTTCCAGAAAGTTTTCTCGTGATGTGGCATTTGCCACAGTCCTGTTTTTAGTGGTGAACTTCCTCAGTCCTAGTAGCATTTTTAGCCCTCCTGTTCCTGCAGTACAACACAAGCAGGATAACTAAATGAATGTGCGTGTGGTGTGGAGAGATTAGGGCGTCAGTGGTGAGGAGTCAGGATCAATGGAGTTAGCACAGACAAGTACACTGTCCGAACAACCTCTACTCCCAGAAGAAGAGGAAGGAAAATCCAGCTTTCTTGGGATATCAGTTTTTGGACACACCCTTTCTTGCCTAGGCTGGGCTTGAACTCCTGGGCTATCGCAGTTCTCTTACCTCAGCCTCACAAGTATCTGGGACTGCACGTAAGTGCCACCGCACCTGGTTTCTTGGGATATCTTGAAGTGATGTTTTTAGTTTGGAATTAGGAAAAAAATGGACAAACAAGCTAGATGCTCAGAGATATTTCTGTTAATGTACTAATAAAATTGTTTTAATTTTTTCTTGAAACATCCATAGAGTTATGTGAGATAGTTGGGGAAGTTTAACATTAATCACATTGTATTAGTCAGATTTTCATCTGAGAATAAACAGCTTAAAAGAGAAAAGGATTAGTTTGGCTCACACTTGCCATGGTCATTTCGCTCCAGGGGAGAAAAACACCATGAGAGAAGGGCATGGCAGAGGAGGTTTGCTCACCTCATAGCAGCCAGGAAGCAGGGAGAAAAGGAAAGCGCTAGAGAAAGAGGACGGGGCCAGGGATAAGTATGTACCATTCTAGACCGTACCCTATGTGACCTACTTCCTTCCCTAGGCCCCACCCCTAGCAGTTGGCTGAGCTAATCCCCTAATGAGACTGGCACACCCATGAGCCAGGCACCTTCCAAAGCCCCACGTCTCAACACATGAGCATTTTGGGGCATCTTGTCCCAAACCAGAATATATGTCTATCACTGCTTGAGCTGTGCTCTGTACCAGGTGCTGTGTTGGCTGTGCCCACCAAGATTTTAAATCTTTACAACCATCACAGGAAGTACAAGTGACTTTTCCTATTAACAAATGATTGTTCCTGATCTTAGTTAATGCTTAGTGAAGCCTTGATTTGAACACAAGTTCTTTTGGCCTTACTATGTATGTTGCTTTAATTGCTGTACCAGGCATTTCTGACACATGCACGTGTAGAAGGGAAATGTCTGAGTTGTTGGCTTAATTCCCTACATGTGGATGCCTAAGTGGTAGTAATTAGAGCGTAGTCTACGTGGGAGTTGACACTGTATTAAAACATAGACTGTCATGTAGAAAGAGTGGAGTAAATGAGGCAAGAGGGTTAGAAATAAAGTGTGGGGAAACATCAGCATGAACCACAGAATTCAGGCAGTTATGCAGTCCAGTTGGAGACAAGCGCTCTGGACAAGTCTACCTACTGGAGGAAAAGTCAGGTGGATCTCATAAAAACTGAGAAAGAAAAGCAGAGTTGTTAGGGCTTTAGACATGAAAAGATTGGCATCATTAAGTGGGAAGTTGAGTGAAAAAGAGGTAGTGCTTTACAATTTGCAGAAGTCTGTATCATCAAAAACTTAGGGTATGGGAAGTCAGAGAAAATCAACAGTATGCAGTCAGGGTGGGAACCAGGAAGGAGCAAAGTTTGTATTTCATTTTGAGTGCGAAAGCGAAACCCTTCAAGATCTATTACTATGTGAGAGTAAATGAAAAATACAGCTGGAAGTGTGGCAAGTGTAAGACAAAAAATGCAGATGACTAAACTGGGCACGGTGGTGCCCGCCTATAATCCCAGCACTTGGGGAGGCTGATCTTGGGAGGTCGAGGCCAGCCTGGGCTACAAAGTGAGCCCAAGGCCTCCCTGAACTGCACAGGGAGACCCTGTCTCAAAAATCAAACAACCAAAGAAAAAAACCAAAAAAAAAAACAAAACCAGAATAAAAATTAAAAATAAAAGCCCTGGGGACAATGAAATGGACATCATTTTGGAAATGGCGTACCTCCAGATTGCAAACTTACATTCTTCAGTGATAGCTGATGAGTTTTTACATGAAGTGCCTACAAAGATATGTACCGGCCAGAGAACACTGTAATTATTGTGTTTAGTAGGTCAGCTTAGTCTTCTTGTGAGACCACTGCTTTCCAGGCATTATTTGTCACCAGATTTATCTGGAAGAACTTATTAAACATACAGATTCAGTGTGCTAACAGAATTAGGGATCTGTGGTTTTAACAAACATGGCAGGAGTGATTCTGAAAGAGGATGACTGATGTTACATTTTAGTAAATGCCAAGCTGAACGATCTCTGTTTGCTTAAAGCTGGTAGCCATGGCAACACTCTAGGGTAAAGAATGCATATGTTTTTTCCAATTCTGAGGAACTCATCCCTAACTCCTGTTTAGGAAGGTGCAAAAGAATTGTGAGGGTTACAAAACAGGTCCAGTAGCACTCTAACCACAAATACATTTGTTACCCAAAAAGAAAAAAAAGAAAAAAATTAGAATTTCTAGTGCATAGCAGAAAAGAGCCCTTGAATATGTCATGTGAATGTTGCTTATAGACTTACTCAGCAAGTGGGTATGAATGACTTAGTTTGTATGGAATATGATATTTGAAGTAAGACGATCCTTAGTCATATCTGTAGATCAACATTGGAGGAGATACGTTCCAGTTCCCCTTATACTTCTGTTCAGATGTAGCCCACTGAAACATGATATGTTTTTATATGATAAATAAGACTTAAAAATTTAATAAAGGTGCTAAGAAACACAGCATAGTAAGTTTTTAGGAATGACAGAGTTACTTGCTCACTCTTGTAGAACTTGTGTGTTACTTATATCCCACTAGTGGCATGTGAACTCTGGAGGCACGGAACGTGGCCCTCCTCTCCACAGCTGTGCCACAGAGCCCATGGAGGCTTCGTGCTGCAGCGCCGCGCCTAGAGGAATAGCCTTCCACGCTGTGCAGTTAACACTACTACGTCAAACTTTTCCTCATGTATAATTGAATCCATTTTTATTCCTAACTAATCATACTTTGCAAATACCCATAAGAGAGTTTTTGGAAGCCTTAGTAAATTCTTTGATGTTTAGAGCATGTAAAATGTAGAAAGATTTAGGAAATAATATTTATTAATGGAATATCTTATTCTTGCTTTGTTTTTCCCATCCATTCAGCTACTATTCATTGAGGAGTTACTGCATTCCAGGCTGTGTGCCTAGTGCTAATTATTAAAAGGATGAAATTAAGAACGCATGATGTGAATGTTTTCTAGGGAAGTAGTTCCATTGCTGCAATTTAATATATCCTAAAGTGAAATAATTTTCTTGCTGTTGTAGTTTTTTCCCGCTTTTTAACTTTTCTTCTTGTAACCTCAGTAGTGCCTGTTCAAAAGTAAAGCAGACCATATACAATAATGTGATGCCTGCGAATTCCAACTTGCGATGGGATCCAGACTTCATGATGGATTTTATTGAGAATCCTTCAGCCCGAAGCATCAACTACTCAATGCTGGGCAAGATCCTTAGTGACAATGCTGCCAATCGCTACAGCTTTGTCTGCAATACCCTCATGAATGTATGTATGGGCCATCAGGATGCTGGAAGGTGAGACGGCTTACCCTGGAGCCCATGTTTAGTCAGAGACTTGCTGCCTTGGTGCTTCCGTGGGGTGGAGCTCTTCAGTAATTGTCTGAGCTCACATTGGGCTGTCCCCCCCACCCCCCAATTTTCTTTTATTCCTGAGTTTACCTCTGCTTTTCATAACCTGAGACAGTGCTTTCTGGCTTACCGCTCTGATATGGGGCATTTTAGATACATACTGTAAGTTATATGATCTGTTTTATATGATAAGATTCTTATATTTTGAAAAACCATTCTTGGACCTACTTACACTAAATATTCTCTTTAATTTTGGTTCCTTTAAAATGTAAATGTATAGATCATATTTGTTTATAGAACTGAAAACATGTTAATTCACATGTGTATGATTATTTCTTGTTAACAGCAGTATTAGAAAACATTTGAGCCCATTTGTTTTTATGTTTTGCCTAAGATTCTATAGGTAACTTGATAAGTGGGTGTTATATCCTGAAATCTAAGAAAATGAATGATTTGTTCTGTGACGGTGAAATACACATTCAGTGCACGCACCTCGTGTGGCCGTTTCTCTCTTGCACAAGGTTACCTTCTCTGTTCTTTTGTAGGATTAACGACATAGCCAACTTCTCCTCTGAGCTGACTGCTTGCTGCACTGTTCTCAGTTCAGAGTGGCTGGGGGTTCTGAAGGCTCTTTGCTGTTCTTCAAATCACGTGTGGGGGTTTAATGATGTACTTTGCACTGTAGATGTAAGTTTTCTTTTTCATTTCAAACTATAATTAAGAATTTAACTAGTGGGTAATCTGTTTTTTTTTTTTTTTTTTAGTTTTCTAATGTAGTGAGCTGCAACATTGTAGAATATCCTTTTTATCTAAAAGCAGTAAACCTCAGTGTAGTTGCCCAGAATTTAATAAATGAAAAAAACAAAATAAATTGATGAATCTGTAGCAGTGGTACCAAGAGTTTTCCTGTTTCCTACAAGTTCCATTACTCTGAGGTTTTTTTATTTTTTATTTTTTGGTTTTTCTCTGGTACCGGGAACCAAACTCACGACCTTGCGCTTTCTCTGAGGTTTTTTTAAAAGTGTATGGATTATCTCTTCAGATCTTTGTTTTAACCACATGGCTTGGGTTCTTTGTGGCATAGGACATAAGCATTTTACAATTTGAAGAGAACCAGTATAACTTCTATCTAGGAATATGGGTTTGTTGTGTTGCTTAAGAAAGCTCAAGTGTAGATGCAGACGGTTTTCTATCAGAGTGATTGTGTCTGGGTGGTGATGAAGAGTTACAGTGTCTCTCCTCCTGTTTCCTCAGCGGGTACAGTCTCTTCCCCTATATCTGATTTCCTCCAATGTCAGGTTGTGTCCATGGTGTGTGTTTCTGTTGAAAAATATATCTTGATTCCCGCACCCCCCTTATCGCTTCTCAGCATAGTCTTTCACCTCCTCGTGTATTTTATAACAAAGAGTGATGCATTTTTAAAGTTGCTTCTCAGTTGAAAACTTATTCCCTAGTTCTGCTGTCTTGGACAGAGCGGACAGTCTTATCTCTATGTCTCCATTCTGAGGGTTAGCATTTTACACACATAAAATTCATCAGTGGTGACACTTTTTTCCCAGACAGAAAAGACCCAAGTTTTTATCTTTCAGGTCCTTACCTCTTGGTTGTTCTTTGTTATATTTTGTCTTCTCCTTTAATTCCTCGTCTGTTAACATGGAATTAATAATAGTGTGAACCTTAGAGTCTTGTGCTGTTAAATAAGGTGATTTTTGTACATTGCTAGCTATGGTCCCTGGCATGTAGTATTAATCAAAGTGAAGGCTACTATGACAGTAGTCATTTCTTATTATTTTCTGCCAATGTCTTGTGAGATTTATAAAGGTGGGCAATTCCTTAGCTTTCCCTGTGACTGAACTGTTTACCTTCCTCTGTCTCCACTCTTTTTAAATTTAGGAGTCAATTATAAACTTTCAAAGTTATTTTTAAAACTAATTTAATCACATTAAAGAAGTCGAGCCAGTTGTTGCAAAATGGAAGTCAATAATATTAATGTCTTACTTCTCCACTGTACCGGCTGTCCTTGTTTTCCCTGCCTCCTGGCGGTCTTAACTTTAAATGACACAACATACTGCTTTCTGCCAAAGGTACTAAGCATACTACTTCTTTCAGTGACTTCTTTAAATTTGTGTGTGTGTGGCTTTTCAATTGTATGTGCACAAGGTAAAGCCAAGTATCTTCTTATGCCATTTGGATGTGGTTACCTCATGCTTTGTCTTAGAAAGTAGAAATGGGCCTACATGCTAAATGTCCCAAGAAGTTATCATTTCTCTCTCCTGGTTAGTTAATGTTAGGATTTGAGATCTTATTGGTATTGCCTACATTCTCTTAGGTATTGATCTTTGAGAATACTTAAAAGGGTGTTAGGTATTAAAACCTGTCAATGTTTTTCTTAAAGGTGAGTGACCTTTCATTCCATGATTCATTAGCTACTTTCATTGCTATTCTGATAGCACGACAGTGTTTCTCCCTGGAGGACGTCGTGCAGCACGTCGCACTTCCCTCTCTCCTAGCGGCAGGTAAGGAGGCGTCCAGGAGCTGTGTGTGTTGTTAGGTTTTTGTCTTGTAGTGAACACAGGGAAAGTGTAACTTAAGGTGTATGTACTTTGCAGAGTGGTGTGCTGTCAGATAGAGAGGGTAGAGTTTTAATACCTGTTCTATGCAGAGTCACACAGATCCCTGCTGGAGAGGAAACTGCCCTTATGTCACCTGTTTTAGGGAAGCACTTGGGTTTCAGAAAAGTATAGCCAGTAGCTTATTTTCTTACTATCAGAAGAATTTATTTAAATTATTCCTGAAAATTTATCTTAATAGGAAACCTGAAGGACTTGTTCTTGACTCTGTTAACAAACGCGCTTCTTCATCCTCTCTTCCTAGCGTGTGGAGATGCGGACGCAGAGCCCGGGGCAAGAATGACATGCAGACTCCTGCTTCATCTCTTCCGAGCTCCGCAGGCCTGCTTCTTACCTCAGGCAGCTGGTGAGCCAACAGCTGAAAAACCTCTGCTCACATTCTCATGTAGACGTATAGGTTTAAAATAACAAGTAGGATGCCCATTTTGTAATTTCCTTCCTAATTTTTGTGGGTTTGATCTGGGGGTGATGAACAAGTGAGAAAATGCTACCAAGAGGGCTGTCAGCACCTTTCACTTATATAATATCAGGATATGTTGGGAAAGAAAAACCAGGAGTTAACAGGCAATAAAAATACCTTGGCTCTTAGGCCATGGCATGTTGGTGGGCAGCGCGATCCTCTAACGTGTTGTGTATGTTGATTCCGAACCACGCCATCCCAGCTTAGGGTCGTGGTGATTCATTTATTCTCTTCTTCAGAAAAGGGGGCAAGAATCGTGGAAAGGTACTGAATTGTTAAAAGGGGTAAGAATTGTTAGTGAAGTCTACCTGAGAAACATTGCATGTAGATATGTATGTGTCTGCGTGGGAATCGTACTAATCTTCTTGCTACATCTCTACAGGGCAAAAACATTGCTTTAATAATTAAAAAAAAAAGATTAAGTAAGAGTACTGGCAGTGTCAGTGAATCCAAGGAGCATCAATTAAAGCCAGCAAATGGCAATTAAGTGCCCACAATCTAACAATGAAAGGCCCTGCTAACTGTAAATGATTACAAAAGATGGTTAATGATGGTGATGAGACTATTAAAGGCTTGTTGTTGTTTTCATAGGCAAACCTTTCCCCGGAATAAGATCATCTTGTGATAGACACCTTTTAGCCGCTGCTCACAACAGCATTGAAGTGGGAGCTGTTTTTGCTGTCTTAAAAGCAATTATGATGCTTGGTAAGACTATATGGACTCCTAGTTTCTTGATTAATCACCAGAAATGGAGGCAAAATAATTTGTATTCAAGTTAAAATCTAATTAGTGTTATTGGAACATGGTTTGTTTTCTTTGTTGTTCTGGAAAACTTAATTAACTTCCCCTACTCCAACTATAATTGAACTCTGTAGAATTCTGTCCCTTACCTCGAGTTACTCGGGGGAATTTAAATACAAATAGTATTTTTGTTTTGTTTAATTGCGGGTTATCTCATTATAAAATAGAGTCACAGGGTTGTTTTGCCTTTATTATTGGCAGAAATCACACTTTATGAGGGACAGGGTGGACTTGGTGATGTCACTAACGGTTTAAACTTCAGCCAGATTATATTCCAGGTGCAGAGCATCAAAAAACCTGAGTGTTTTAATCATACTTTTTCTGCTTCTCTTACGGCCCTTAGCAAGTTTTAAGTTTTCTGCCTTAGTTTTTTTCATGAGTTGGGTGATCATTTTAATTGTGTTTATATTATAAAGTAAATGTTAGCTATCACAGTAACTTTTAAATTTAATTATTAAAACAATTGTCCCTCACACACTTACTTGTACATATTCTCTTGGAGTAATAGTGCTGCTTTCTGTTCATGTACTATATAGTACTCTGAAGCATTTGTTTTGTAAATTTATAAAGGATTTGAAGGATTAGGAATTCTTGAATTCATAATGCCTGATTCCAATTTTGAGACCCTCTTATGGTGTTGATTAAATAGTAGTTACCTCTTTTGCTCTTACTGAGCCCCCTTTGGTTAAAACGGAATGATTGAGTGGCTGGCTAGGAGTTGCTGTAGATTATTCTTAAAGAACATGAGTTAAGGGAGTGAGGGCCAAATGTGGTGGCACATGTCTGCAATCTTAGCGCCTGAGAGGCTAAGGCAGGAGGGTCACAGGTTCAACACCAGCTTTAGCTACATAGCAACTTAGCTAAACTCTTTGTCAAAATTTAAAAATAAGAAAGAAGAAAGAAAAGAATATGAGTGAGGCTGTAACCCTCTCCTGCTGAAGAAATGTTATTTGGTGGTGACAAGGGAAAATAGGAGAGGTTTTTTTATGGAACATCCTATTAAAAGTTCACAGAAAAACAGTATATTCTTTGAAATGCCCATGAGTTTGTAGCAGAAAGGGAAGAGCAGAGCTACTTGAGAGGTTACAGCTTTTCCTCTGAACTCTAGGAGTTTGTAGTATTACAGCCCATGTTAAATGCTCATTTTAGTGAGTAAAATTTTTCTACTCAGATCATGTTTGTTGGGAAGGATGACTAGTCAGTTTTACTGAATGAATAAATGTACAGACCGTCCTGCCCCAACTGACTCTCTTCCTGCGGTATTTCTAGGGCTCATCAGAGAAACTAGCAAAGAGTCTTTCAATAAACTAATGTTGGAAGTATGAATATGTAAGTGACAGATGTTTCAATGGCAGAAATCATGATCGGTGCCATCCAGACATTGGCCCCTTGATTTGTAGGACTGCTCGTACCCCAATTAAAATTTGCCAGCTTCTTTAAATATTCAGGTAATATGGAGGCTTCTCTGAGTCTAAGTCAGGATCAGGCTGGTCAAATAGCAACAGAGCACTGGACCAGGTTCACACTAAAAACTCAGTTTGGGGCCGGGGATATAGCTCAGCGGCACAGCGCCTGCCTGGCAAGTGCAAAGTCCTGAGTTCGATTCCCAGCACCAAAAATAAATAAATAAAATAAATAAATACTTTGTTCTGTAGTCTGTGCAGTAGCAGAAGGTTCTGGCACATCCTGTCAGACCTTCTTATCTTAATGCTAAGTGAACATATCCTGGTTTGGGACTGGTAGAGGTGTTTGTTTCTTTGTTTTTGATCTACAGAGGTTTTAATTTACTACCTCATCAGTGTCTTCCCAATATCCTCCCCACCCCTATTTACAGAATGTATTTAGAGATAGCAAGGTATATTGTATTTGGTTCATAAATCCCATAGTTGTTTAATTTGAAATGTAGTAATAGTTGGTTTTATCACCTAAGGGTGAAGAACATATACTAAATTTTGGTGTTTGATGTTCATTCCTTCAGCTCCTAAAAATCTCTGATGAATTACATAAATTCCTGTAGGTAAAATTAGTACTTCTTGTATTTGTATTTTATTTGAGAAATGTATGAGAGCGTATTAGTAGATTGCAATGTATTTATGTCTCCTCAGCTTAAGATTTTATAAGTAAGTATTCAATTTTTTCAGCAGAGTCAAAATTGTGGGTTTCATTCGACTCTTTGACACTGACGTGGGCTTAGTTTCAGTCACTTATTGCAGGCCATGAAGGCTTTAGCCGAACGCATTTTTCATCCCGGGAAATTTTCTTGTAAAGGCTTATTTTGATCCTGTTGGTAAAGCACTCAAAAGTCTGAAGGTTCTGCTGTTGTTTGACAATCCTTACTACCAAACTGTATGACTCTCACTTTTAAAGTATGACATTTCTGTATAATCGCTAAAGGTTTCTTTTGGCTATTCAAATGAATTCTGTTCAGTTGTTTCCTCCCAGAACTTTGTTGTGAGGATAACACTTTCCTTAGCTTCATTTCACTGAAAAATTAGAGCTTGATCAGGTAAGGTTTTCTAATTTGGATGTTTCAGAGAGGAAGGTGAAAGACATGGGTTATTCAATGAGTGCCCTACTTTGCAGGGCTTCCTTAGTATGCATTGCCCTTTTCCATTCCCAGGGAAATAAATCTCTCTTGTCAAGAAGTTGATAGTAAGGTGAGCTAAGGCAAAACTTTTCTCTTGACCTATGGATAGAAAATAAGTCATTGTAAGAGAAGAAATGAAAAAGGGACACCTCATAGGGTGAGTAACCCATTTTTCCTTGTCTATAAGTCAAATCAATTTGAGTACCTTCATGCTTAAACTTTTGGTGAAATCAATGTTCTGTGGCTATTAAGTGTGATTCATAATGGTCTTTCCAAGTTCGGTGAGTGTGCCTAATTCTGTAAGCAAAAGAAGGAATGAGTTCTGAACTTGCTTTTTCTCTCTGTCTGATAGTTCTCTGGGTTCTTTCATTATTCTCTTGATCCATGCGCTCTTTGCTGAACAATTGGCTGTGTGATAATAATACTATTCACATATTTTAAATCCCTTGGGGCTAGCCTCATTTTACTCTCAAATATTTGGCAATATTTTGAACTTCTGTGATTTTGCTTTTGTGGTTCTGTCATTTAGGAGATGCCAAAATTGGCAGTAACAACGTCAGCTCTTTAAAGAATGAGGACTTTGCCGTGAGAAGTTTACGGCGTGATGGGAATGCTGATGACATCTGGACTGCCTCTCAAAATGTGAAATCCTGTGGGAAAAGTATTTCCATAGAGACTGCCAATTTAAGAGAATATGCCCGATACGTCCTGAGGACTATCTGTCAGCAGGTATTCTCCAATGCATTTCTTTTTTTTTGTCTTTTTGAGACAGGGTCTCTCTGTACAGTTCAGACTGGCCTTGAGCTCACTTTGTAGCCCAGGCTGGTTTCGAACTTGCAACGATCCTCCTGCCTCAGCCTCCCAAGTGCTGGGATTACAGGCATGCACCACCATGCCTGGCTTCATTTTGTCTTTTACTTTGAAAGTGCATCAACTTCCAAAGATAGTTGGTTGCTATTGGAGGAAACTTGCATACGTGTGGTCCTTTTTTCCCCTACTACCTTTATTTTGAAATAATTTCAAATTTCCTAAAAAGTTGCAATAATAATAACTACAGTATATTCTTTATAGCTATGCACTGATTTTTACATTTTGCTACATGTGCTTTTTTACAGTTCTATTTGTGTGAGTGTGGGTGCATACTTTTTCTGATCCCTTTGAGGGTAGTAGTGTTTTTTAAACTTTGTTTTTTGAATACTCCCATTTTTATTTCATAACAAGATCAAAATATATTTTATAAAAATCAGAGAACTTATGATTGGTACCATAATTTTTTCTCATCTCTAAGCGACAGTCCACTTGGGTCATTTGTCCTAGCGCTACTGCATTTGTCTAACGTTTCCTGAAGATTAGCCTCAGATTGTGCATCCCTTGCCCAGAGACTGCAGAAGTAAAGTTGTGTTCTTCCAGGTACCCACATCTTAAGGCATACAAAGTCCCTTTGTACCTTATTGGTGATATAACATTGATTGAGGTGTCTCCATTTTAATTTTAAGATTTCTGCACTGTATAGATATTGTTTTACCTCTTGTAATTAATAAGGAATCTTTGGGGAGACACTTTGAGATGATGTGAATTTCCTCACCCCTCATAAGCATCCATTTTTTATTCTTGTCCAAACCAGTTGTTATTATCATGAGTGCAAAATGGTGCCCGCCCCTGTCCTCCTCCACAATATCAGTTTCTTTCCTACTGAAGGGAATCTCTAGCCTTTTATTTACTTGTTTGTTTTTTGTTATCCATATGTGGAATATATTGCCCTTAGTTATTTTAATGTTCAAGGTGTTGTAGGTTTGCTTCTCACTTTCTGGCCCATCTTGTACTTTCCCTGCCTTAGCACTGACATCACTCATTCCCCCAAGGAGTGCTGGTTTTGTTTGGTAGAGAATGGTGCTTAGAAGGCAAGAACTAATAGGGTGTATGCCTGTTCTAAGGAGTGCCGTTGTTTCCAGATCTCTCAGCAAGCATCTGGGAGCAAACTACATCCATATACACAAGTGTGTGCGTGTCTGTAATCCTGAGTTCGTACTGACACCTCCAGTTCCCATCCAACTCTGTAAAGTTGTGCTTTACTTTTCCCACTTGCATTCTTGCAAAATAACCCTGCATTCCCATAACATCAGCTCACTTACTTAATTGCTTAATTCTGCAATTCTGTGGTTTTAGAACTGTTATCCATATAACTCGAGGAAAAGCAAGTTACTAAGAGGAGTTGAAGAAAGTTTGTGCTTTTTTCCTGTAGGTTTACATTATTGTATTCAAAGGTTATTTGAGGTTCTTTTTTAGTATAAATATATCCTATATTTCAAATAGAAGTAGGTTTCTTTTTGTTTAACTTCAGTGTAAATTCTCTTACATCCCAGTTCTTTGCATAGAATTACATAAAAAGTCTCAGTACACACAAAGTATTCAGAGGTGTGTCTTCTTCCCCATATTCCTGTGTTCGGCCCTCCCTGCCTGAGTTGACTTATTTCATTATCTTTATCCTTTCATGTTTTTCAAATGAAACACTTTCTTGCTTACAAAAAAGTGATGTGACTTACGTATTTTGTGTTTTACTATAGATGTAAAGTTCTACCATGTTTTTGTATGTTATAGGTTTATTCTAACCATGATAAAAAATTAGCTGAATAGTCATAGATGATGAAAAAGAGTTACAGTTTGGTTCCCAATGTGAGGCATATACAAGCTTTTGAGTCCTAGAGCTCCAGCAAGGCTGGTGGGCAGGCTGGTGTAGGCGTCTAGCCGCTGGTCTCAGGGAGTTCCTGTGTGAGCCCCATGGGAGGCTCCTGGGTAGTTTGGGCCTAGCTTACCAGTGGCAGTAGCCAGAACTGAACAAATGGATTAGTTAATGAGGAAGGGAGGGAGGGAGCGAGGAAGGAAGGAAGGGAGGGAGGGAGAGAAGAAGGAAGGAAGGAAGAGAGGAGAGAGAGGGAGGGAAGGAGGGAAAGAGGAAGGAGGGAAGAAAAGGAAGGGAAGAAGGACGGATGGGAATTTGATGCGTAGGGGAAAAGTACAAGTACAGTATCTCAGTACTGCTGCCTGTGTTTGATTTAACTGGTCTAATGTGGGACCTGGATATGGAATGCTATAAATTTCCCAGGTGATTTTAATGGAAAATCAGTATTGAGTCTCTGGTATGGTGGTTAAGAAATATACTTCATCTGAAATAATCTGGGTTCACATTGAGCTCTGCTACTATTGTTGATTTCTTATTCCATCTACCACAGTACCAGAATTTGCCCTTGAAAAAAATGGTGAAGAAGAGGTGCTAGGAGATTAAGTAGGGAGAAACCTGAGGCAATTAGCCACGTGCATCTGTAGCCGTAAACTTTTGTTATACTCTGACCTAGTGGTTGGGATTCTTTCAAATTATCATATGAAAATAATTATATAGAAAGTAGATGCACACAATTTTTATTTATAATAGTAGCATGCATAATAGTATCGAGTAAGATAATTTTTAAAATATTTGTTGTACTGTGTTCTGTCTGTTCAATGATATATCATTCATGTACTCCGTAAAGATTATGAAGACCACATATAATATTGAATCATTATGTACCACATTTTTAAAAAACATTACAAAACAGAGCCATAAATCAAGGCCCCGTTTTCCAGTTGAACGTATACCATACACCTTTTCATTTTCTGCATACAGATTTTAAAACTTTTCTTTAATTAAGGTAAATTTTGTATTTTGAAGAAGTCAAAATGCTGGAAATTTGTTTTTGAAAATTTTTCATGTACTTGTTTCATGTAATTTTTTAAATGGAAAGATTCTTACCAACTTTATATGCCTCTTTGCTCTGTGAACCTAGTACATATTGCATAGTGACATAGAGAGTCAGTGCCTGTTAACCTAACTGCCATATTCTTTTTAGGAATGGGTGGGAGAACATTGCTTAAAAGAACCCGAAAGATTGTGTACTGACAAGGAGCTTATACTGGACCCTGTGCTTTCCAATATGCAAGCACAGAAACTGCTGCAGCTAATCTGTTATCCTCATGGCATTAAAGAGTGTACTGACGGAGACAACTTGCAAAGGCAACACATTAAGCGCATTCTTCAGGTAATTATTGCGCCCCAGATGTGTTTCTTTCATTTAACACATCCTGATAGTAGAAGAGTTATTGCCCCCTCCATCGTCTCCTCTGTTCACGCACTCTCTCTCTTTCCATCTCTTCTCTCTCCATCTCTTTCTCTCTCTCTCTCTCTCTCTCTGTCTCTCTCTCTCTCTCTCTCATTTCTAATTCTTGTCTTCAGTTAATTCTAAGGTTTGTTCCCCAGCTTTTTTGCTGTGGAATTGCCGAGGTTTATTGGTAGGGAGATATAAATGCTGTTCATTTTATATATTTATCAAACAAATGTTAATATTTTAAGTCAGCACTATATTTACATGAGAAGTAGTCTGAGGAAGAATAGTCTTAATATATTACCCAAGAAATACTACAATTATCTTGGAATAGGGTTGATTAGAGAAATGGATTTTGGTAGGTTAAATGCTTGTTTTATTTCTAGTTCTTAGCTGGGTCAGTTACATTCTTTTCATGTTTTTGTGTATGTGTGTGTGTGTGTGTGTGTCTGTGTTTGTGCTCAATATATGTAACAGGATTACAATCCTTTGATTCACGTAAATTCTTTGTATACCATTATTCTTTTCTTTCTTGAGAAATGAAATACTGCAAGCATTTGTTATATATTAAAAGTGATTCAACAGTCCTAAAGTTTCCATTCTTTCTTTTTAAACCAGAATCTTGAACAGTGGACACTGAGACAGTCCTGGCTTGAGCTTCAGTTAATGATCAAACAGTGCTTGAAGGACCCTGTGAGTATATATTGAACACATGTATGTGACTGAAATTTTACGAAAAGCAAAACCACACTGATATTTGAAGGTAAAGGAATACGTATGTGGTAACTTTCCTGTCTCTAACTCTAGGGCTCCGGTTCTGTGGCTGAAATGAACAACTTACTGGACAATATTGCTAAGGCAACAATAGAGGTGTTCCAGCAGTCTGCAGACCTAAATAACAACTCCTCTAATTCTGGCATGAGTCTCTTCAACCCAAATGGCATTGGAAGTGTTGATGCAAGTAGCACGAGACAAAATGGAATAAAGACATTTCTAAGGTATTTCTGTGTAGTTTTATTAGGCTATAATTAATTTTTCACATGTAATAGTAAATTTTATTTGTATAATTATTTTTTTCACAATGTAAAGGAAATGTGAAGAAAATAATTGCTTGTAGGTGACAGTTACTGTTTTTAATAATTGAAAGGGTGAAGCGGGTGGGCAACACTCTTAGCGTTTTAGATATTTGGGTTAGTAGGCTCCTGGAACTACTGTTGAACTCGGGTTTGATCCATATCTTCAGTGACCCTTAGGTTACTGTATTCAATGCTAATCATCTTACAGAGAACACTTTTTCTGCATCTGGATTAGTTAGCAGTTTGGACAAATATTTGTTTAGAATTAGAGCCAGTAGGCATATGCAATTCTAATTTTAATTTTTTTAATTTTTTTTTTTTTTGGTTTTTCTCCGGTACCGGGAACCGAACTCACGACCTTGCACTTGCCAGGCAGGCGCTTTTTGCCGCTGAGCTAAATCCCCAGCCCCGGCATATGCAATTCTAAACTAATCCTTTAATCATGAAAGGCAGATTGATTTATATTTCATCATTTTGGTAAAAAATATTAACTAGTGTGTCTTAAAACTTAAAACCATCATTTATCATTACATTTCACTGTAACATTTTATGTTTTAACCATGACAGAAAAGTATATTGTTTGTTGAATAAAACAGTGACTTATTCTTACTAATCAGAGCAAGACCAGAATCACAGAAAAATACTGGAAAGTGGATTCATTTCCAGTGTCCTCCCGGAGCTGAGCCTTTCATTGCTTCTCCTAAAAGTGGGTAGAAGGTATAAGCAAGGTCTGGTCTTTAGCAAGAGGAAAGATGGTACAGAAATGAAGGAAAATTTTTAGAATAGCCCATGCCTGGCACATCAGAGTTTTGGGAGTTTCTGTCACAACCGGCAGAGCAGAGACCCAGGCTGCTTCCTCAGGTGTAACATCTGTTTCTGATTTTAGTTCCTCTGAACGCAGGGGCGTGTGGTTGGTGGCCCCCCTCATCGCCAGGCTGCCCACATCTGTGCAGGGACGAGTGCTGAAAGCGGCTGGGGAAGAACTAGAGAAGGGACAACACTTAGGCTCCTCTTCAAAAAAGGAGCGAGACAGACAGAAACAGAAAAGGTATGGCCGGAAGGTGTGTCTCTTAATGTGAAAGTGTAAAGAACACCTAAGGTAATCTATCTAGTGTCCTGGAAATACACGATCATTGCAGTCAGCACCCACTAGCATTTATTTTTCAGTAGAAGGGAGGTACTCTGTTGGGCCAGGCTCTGTTCCTAAGAAGTTGCAGGTGTTTGGTACACTGGTTCTCAGCTCTGTCTGCGCATCCAAGTCACTGCTGCACTTTTGAAAATACTGTGAGCCCCACTTGGTATCAGGCAGTCAGACTGGATTAGCCGCTTGCCAATGCATGTCATTTTTAATTATTTCTACTTTTCTCAATTTCTGATTTTCTAATTTTCTGAATGAGGTGCTAATAATAAACAGTTATTTTTAATTCTAGCACGTTAGATCCTGAAATAGTTATTAATATTTCCAACATTTAGGTGGCTTGTTCCTGACTAGAAATTAAAATCTCTAAGCCACCAAAGCTAATGTTTTCTTAATAATTTATTTTATACCTAAGGAAAGGTTTCAACAATTACTTTCAAAGTCTGGTTATATTATTGAGGGAGAATAGAACTTCATGTTGTGATTTAGCATCATAGGAATAAAGAAAAAAGTAGTAATTTCTTCCATTTTATAAACATTCCAAACATTTTTCTTATTCTCTAGTCAATGAGACTGTCGTAGCTGCCTTTTATCGAGATCTTATGAAATGCTATTTCCTGTTTAAACTCACTGTGTCCATGAGCTTTCAGAGTCTCTCAGCAGGCCCATGGTGCATGCTCTCCTTGTCTGCTTTTTCAGTGGAGGAGCTGCGACAGTGCAGGGTTATGTAAGTTGTGCTAGGATGCACAGCAAAGGAGATGACGGATGTTTAAGCCCAGGCAAGCTGGCTTCTGAGCCTGTGCTCATAACTGCAGTGCATTTTGTGGCTGCCTAGCAGTGCATATGTGCATATGTTTTATCTGTTACCTGGTTCTTCACCATCTTTGCCAGTACTAATTAGCCAACCCCAAGACATAGGTCTAATTTTTAAATCATGTTTGCTAGTAGATGATGATGTGTGTGCTGCTTGACTTCCCAGAAGGACCGATGGTCTCACAGAGGTAGAAGGTAGTTCTTAAATCAGTGACTCAATCCTACGTTACATGGAGCTGATTGAAATATTCTGGCTTAGATTTCATTCTAAGAAATTTTTGTGTATAGCTCTTGGTTTGTCAGCTGTTCTCTAATTAAGGATACTCTATTAAAATGCCAATTTAAAAATAGAAGTTTTGACAAATGCCTTGAAACCCCTGTACCAGCAGAAGGCATGGGCAATGGTGGAGCTGGGCACTAGAGGTCGCCAGCAGCAACCCAGGGCTTGCTGGTTACCCTAGTTTTACCAATACCCTGAAAAACAAGGCAAATCTCAAAAATAATCACTACACACGCAGAGGTCTATTTCCTACACTTTAATAGTTTTAGGTGAAAATTTTCTCAATTTTTCATTTTATTGCCTGATTAAATAAATATTCTTTCTAGTGCGTATTTTAAAATTCTACTTATTGATGTAAAATACTAATTCATTACCTTTTCCTGTTCTCTACCACACATTCACATGCAATATGAATTTATGCTGGTTTGTGAATGCCTTCCAGGGCAGTAAAGCCTATAAGTCAAATAGAAGCATTACAGTTGCTTTTAATCTCATAAGTGGAGGTGTGATTTAACTTTTCCAGTGGCCTTTGGTAATTTCCACCCCTCCTTTATCTAATAGTAAAATAAATGAGAGCAAATATCCCAAAGGGGAAGACATGAGTATTGGAACAGGAAGCAGTCTATTCTTTCTAACCAGACTTGCTGTGATGACTTCCTTTGCAGTATGTCTCTTTTGAGTCAACAGCCTTTCCTCTCACTGGTCCTCACCTGCCTTAAGGGACAAGATGAGCAACGGGAAGGCCTCCTGACATCTCTCCAGAATCAAGTTAACCAGGTAGGGCCAAGTATAATATTAAGCCAGGCAAGCATCTTTCCAATGGTATTCATTGGTTTTTCTTTCAAGTACTAAGATTCAACAAATAAAGGCACATTATATCTTGATGAGATGCTGGGAAACAACAGTCTGTGGCCTGTTCTCCAACCTGGCATTCTAGTCCCTGCAAGGTGAACAATTTTCTAATATTATGCATATAATACATGTATATAGGCTATACAAGTAAATTCTTAGGGGCTGGGGATTTAGCTCAGTGGCACAGTGCCTGCCTGGCAAGCGCAAGGTCATGAGTTTAATTCCTGGTACTTAAAAACAAACAAACAAACAAACAAACAAACAAACCACCAAACCACCAAGTAAATTCTTACATGTTACTATAATTTTTTAAGCAAAATGTCTTCCTCTCTCCTAACCCTGCCTCATGAGTGAAGACCTGTGAGAGTCTGTGGTATAATGGAGGTGATTTGAGGCAGAGGAACCATGTCCTTGCTCTTCAGGCTGGGCTTCCATGTGGTAGGGAGGTTTCAACCTGACTGAAGTTCCAGGGAATCAGTCTTATGGCCGCCAAGACTTAGTGTGATTCCAGTTGAATACATAAGAAACCCACTCATAAGTTAGAAGGTGTATTGGTTCATTTGCAAAGAATTTGAAAGTCACCTATTCACTAACCCTGCTTCCTCTGATCAGTGAGAAGCAGTTGCCATTCTGTGAACTGCACAGAAACTGAATGATTGAATTAGAAAGGGAGAACTTTAAATCAAGGAAAATGGATAGATGGGCCATATGAGACATTTGTCCTGAAGCAGAGCCAGCTGGAGCCCTCATTGTGGTACCGTGACTTACGGGATTAAGTCTTTCTCCTGAATGTGACTGCGTGGACATGGACAAGGGCACTTAACTTGTGTTTCTCACATGTGTAGTGAAATCTCGCAGTGTGGGCAGTAAGGCCCGGAGTCACTTACACTTGTGGTCTCCTGCCTTGCTTACTACCAGTTACGGCCTTGCTCACCTGCACTTGTCACGGTTGCTCATTTCTGTTCCTCAGACTTGCCAAGCTTTACTTTTACTGCCCGCACATCTTTTCTTCTCTTAACAAAGAAGGATTCCTTCTAGGACAGTAGCCTGTCTACTCCTTTGTTTCGCTCAGGTCTCTGTTCAGACGTTACCTTCTTAATGAGGCCATGATCACCTCTAAAAATAGGGCCTCTATTGTCCTTCTCCCCTTGCTCTGCCTCACACCACTTGTTCCACTTCCCTTGTGTTCATTTGTTCCACTAGTATGATATCAGCTCCGTGAGAGCTGTGTGTGTTAACTGTCTCGCACCTTAAGTGAAGCTTGGAAGAGGCCCATGTCTTTCCCACATGAGATGTGGAAAGTGCTCACTTCTCCTCGTGTGGTGTACTGTACTTACAGGTCAGCTGTTGGCATGAATTACTTCTGCATGTGACTCATTTTACTTCTTGCAAAATGATTCTCATTAGCTACTAGATTTTTTTCTTGTTCTTGCTGTGTGTTTGTTTGCTTGTGCCATCTATTCTAGGGTATAACACACTGTGGCTTGCCTTACCCCAGGAAACTTTCCCTTCCCCAGCATTAACATGAGTCAGTGAGGAAATGAAGAAGCAGCCCACTTTATAAATTTGTATGCTACTTGGTTGGTTGATGTATAAAATGACACATTTTTCAAAATGGTTTACATTCTTTGTATTCAAGGAAAACTATGTATTAAGATGGCAAAACTTTAATGATACATTTTCTAGGGTTTATAGGACATCCCTAGAAATATAAAATGGGACCAATGTAAAATGCATTCTAGCTCTCCAGTATTGTTCTTCATAAGGCCAGTGAAACAATGTAGTTTTTAAAATTTTGTGAGTGCTTAATTTGATGTGTTCTAAAGTATTTTCTCAGACTTAGTGATAGGATGTATAATTTGATAAGATTTTCTTTTCCTTCTAGAAAGACAGGTGGAAAAAGAAGTAGCCAAGTTTCTGTCTGCATGAAGAAAGGGAAAGAAAGCTAAAGTTTATACAACTTTCTTTTGTTATTTGTTAAAGCAGAAGTTGTTTTTGACTGTAAATAAAAAACTCAATTTAAATACCAAAAAATTTAATTTTAAGTGGTGAAAGTTTTTTTCTTTTCTTTTTTGGCCTGACCTTAGATTTTAAGTAATTGGAGAGAAGAACGATACCAGGATGACACAAAGGCACGGCAGATGATGCATGAAGCTTTGCAACTTCGCCTCAATTTGGTAAGGGACCTTCCTAGTGTTTTCCCTCCATCACATCCACACTGTATCTGCGAAAATAGCTCCAGCTTCCAGCCTCTGCTGTGGGGAGGTGTGCCAGCGCCATGAGGCGTCCCAGTGTTTGCCTTCTGTAACGACTTCTCTCTCTCAAGCCTTCTGTTTTTCTTGCTACGGGAGCTGAGTTCTAGATAGCAGTAGGTATTTTAAGCCTTGATTTGTCTTCTCCACCCTATCCCTGTCAAGCAGATTTCTCTTTAGTTTGTGCTAAGAGTAGGTCTCAGAAGACCACCTTGAGATGAGTGTTAGCTTTTACTATTCTTATTTTAAAAATATTAAAATCCTTCAACTCAAAATTGTGGAAGACTTTGCATCAAATCGATCAAGAGGACAAATCTTGCAGAGATATTTTATAGAAATTTAAATTTTCTTACACATTGTACATTCCTTTGAACTTTTCTTTCCTGTTAGACCCAAATGAGGCTTTCTTGGGGGCCGGTGAGCCTGATGTGTTGTTTTAACCCAGTACCCACACAGAGAAGCTGGCAAGCCTCAGGCAATATGGTCACAGGCTTAGATGCAGCAGTAGCTGAACACCACAGAGGTGAAGATCATCAGGTTATAGTTCTGACGGTGTTCAGGTTGAATTTGACTATAACGACAGCATAAAACTGAGTATCATGAAAGACGAGGAAGTAAGCTATTGTTTATCGGTGCCCACACTCGAGCATTACTCTTCTTTCTTTAACTTTTGAATGACCAAACCATAATAAAGAATCCAAAAACACTGATAGACAGCTAAGCGAGAAGGAAGACAGGTTAATCTTTAGTCCACACAGTGCGGCCTGGCTCCTCCCTCTCACTCTCACACCGAAACAAACTCTTTCTTGCATTCGCGTGCTAGGTGGGAGGAATGTTTGACACAGTACAGAGGAGCACCCAGTGGACCACGGACTGGGCCCTCCTGCTCCTTCAGATAATTACTTCCGGAACCGTGGACATGCACACTAACAAGTATGTTTTTATCATTTCTTGTTTATTTTACTGCATGTGTACATGGTATAACCTTTGATGTACTGAGCAAATTCTAGCACACCTTATTATCTTAGGTGCCATGAAAGGTTCTTTGCCTGGATAGAAATGCTCAGTAAATCAAGGGCATTTTGGCTTCCCTTTAAAAGAATTTTCTTTCCTTTCCTAGTGAATTATTCACAACAGTACTTGACATGCTGGGTGTTTTAATCAATGGAACGTTAGCCTCTGACCTATCAAATGCATCCCCAGGTGGATCTGAAGAGAACAAACGTGCATACATGAATTTAGTAAAGAAACTGAAAGTAAGTTTGTGATCAGCTCGTATTATGAGGTCACAGTGTTTCTGGAATTTGTCTTCTAGTGCATTTTATTCAAAATTATTATCTATTAATTTAAACTAATTTTTAAAACTTAAATTAATTTAGTGTGGTGATTTACTGTTTATTTTACCTTACCAATACCCCAAAATTTATAAGCATACCATCCTATAAATTTTTCTTTAAAAAACATATTATATTCAATAATTTTAAATGAACCTTAGAAATATGGTGTCAAATATAACCAAGATGCTAACATTAGATGTAGGATAAATTCATGATAAACATCTACTGGTATTTGTGAATCTGACCCTTTATGAACTATCACCATAGTCTTTGAAATAAGCTGTTAAAAAAAGAAAGAAAAAAATATAACCAATGACTTTACAAATAAAATTAACTGATGGTTACCTTGTGGTCTGACCCTGGCTGGGTAAGAGAAAGTGTTCCGTGCTGCAGCTTCTGTCTTCTGAGTACAAATGCTACTCTAGATTTTTGTCACTTCAGCACTATGATGTTTGCTGTATAAAAAGACAGCTTTTATGTGTGTTCTATTTTCTGTTTAAATAGAAGAAATGAAACAGACTCATCACTGATTTGGAGTTCTTCCATAGACCATGTTCAGGGTTAAAGTACATGACAGCTATAAAAAGGAAATGTTTCACGGGGGACTTCCTTCTTGTTAACTTTTGCCTGCGTTGTAATTTCTAAATTTCTGTCCCACTCCTCCCCTTCCCCCTCCTTCCCTCCTCCCTCTCTCTTTTTCTTTTTTTCCCAGAAAGAGCTAGGAGACAAGCGGTCAGAAAGCATAGACAAAGTTCGACAGCTGCTACCTTTGCCCAAACAGACATGTGATGTCATCACTTGTGAGCCTATGGGTTCTTTGATTGACACAAAGGGAAATAAAATTGCTGGATTTGACTCTATAGATAAAAAACAGGCAAGAGGAAATGTTTTTTTTTTCTCATTCATAAATTTGTTTATATAGATCATATTTTTATCTTCCTAAGGTTATAAAAAGAAGTCTCAACTTTTCAGTTTCTTAGCTTCTTGAAAGGTATAGTCTTATTGTCTTAAGTATAGTGATCATTAGTATTATAAACAGGTCAGCTCTTTGAAGAGCTTCACTTGAAATGTTTGTCTGAATTTAAGCAAATTCCTAAATCTACCAAGGGAAAGCCAAATAAAAGCTTAGTGGGGCGGGGGAGAAGAAAAAAAGTTTTACTTTAGAATTGCAAGCAGGGTATATGTGGATAAGGAAATTTTCATTTATAAATATTCTCATGTACTAATTAAGCTGTTTCAAGGGCAATTATTTTAAATGTTATGATACATTCTTAACAAATACATGAAGATTTGTTTTATATGACATATTTTTATATGTCTTCTGAAATAGAAGATTGGTCAGTTACTCTTTCAGTGAACACTGATCAATCACAGTTAACACTGAGCAAACCACAAAGGTAAAAGACCAGGCGCCCTCCCCTCAAGAGAAGTAGATAGACAACTGTGGTGTAATGAGATTTGTGAGTCATGGTAAGGAAAGAGTGTGAGGCGGTGAGAAAGAGCCACCAAACTCAGAGGAAGGTCATTAGAGTGGGTCCTGTGGATAGTTGACAGATGAGTTATTTCAAGGTTTAAGAACTAGGAGGGATAGTATGATAAGGTGGAGGGATAGTATGATAAGGTAGAGGGAAGAGTTTATTTAAGGCATGAAAGAATGCACCTTATAGGAAAAATGCAGTGCAATGCGACTGCCATTCAGAGTAGCTGAATACCCAGTACCAGTGTAGTTATAGAAAGAGAAAAGCTGTAGTCGTGGTAGGTTGAGTGTGGGCTGTCTAACGTGAGACATCCAGATCCCTTTGGATACGTGATCTTTGTACCAAGAAAAATGGTCTCAGCTCGAGAGAAACATTTGGAAACAGTTAATTCATAGGTGTAATTGACTGGTTTCAGAAACCTCCCACAAAAGAGTACTCACATTTAATGGAATGCCTGAGTAGTTATTTGGGAGCCATCCGAGGCAAAACATGCTCACATCGTCATATGGGGGAAAGTTCCAAGAGACAGTAACCAACTAAGGGAAAAAATGAGAAAGTTGTATTTTCAGAAAGATTGACATTCCTCTTCTAGAGTCATTAAAGATACACTGAAGGACTCTATTTGTACCTGTTGCTATAATTTAATTTTATGGTACTATTACTGCATTCAGAGATTGGCTTATTAAGTACATTGAAGGTTCCAATATCAAATCAAGTGCATGCAAGTTTGGATTGAAGTTGACATGAACCCAGTCAGACGCTGACTGTGTCTTGACTTGAATTTTGTATTAGCTTAAAAGTAATCTATTCTGGAGATTTATAGCTGGTTATATTTAGTATAGTAAAATCAACTTTGTAGTTTACTTTAGAAACTTTTTTTTACTAAAACAGACTACACGAAAAGTGCCCCTTTACAGTGACATACGCTAGACTGCGTATTTTGCCTGAACAGGGCATCACGCGGTGTAAAGAAGGCGGAAGTGACCTCTGTGTCTGAGTGCTGGCTGCGTCTCTCCAGGGACCTAGCTGGTTAGTCCTAACTGTGTGTGCTGCATTCTGTAAGGTTCACACCAGCAAAAATACTCTGTGCGTCTGTGTCAAAGCAAGCCTGGCCTGTGAATCAGGAAGAGGTCTGAGTGTGTTGTCATAGAGCGTTATTTTACCGCAGGGTCTCCAGGTCTCCACAAAGCAGAAGGTGTCCCCTTGGGACTTGTTTGAGGGTCAGAAGAACCCAGCTCCTCTGTCGTGGGCCTGGTTTGGGACTGTCCGAATGGACCGCAAAGTGATTAAGTACGAGGAGCAGCATCACCTCCTTTTGTACCACACACACCCCATGCCCAAGCCCCGAAGCTACTACCTCGAGCCACTGCCCCTGCCTCCTGAGGAGGAAGAGGAAGAGCCCACATCTCCCATTTCTCAGGAACCAGAAAGGAAATCAGCTGAGCTGTCAGATCAGGGAAAAACCACAACAGATGAAGAGAAGAAGACCAAGGGAAGGAAGCGCAAGACGAAACCGAGCTCACGAGTTGATGTGAGTGGGGAAATAAAAGGATGGGTTCACTCACCTCGCGTATGCAGTTTTCTGCTGACCAAATTGTGTTCCTCGGAATGTAACAAAAGCAGTGTAAGCTTTGTTGTAAGAGTTATCCTAACAAGTTTCTGTAGTAATTAATGAACTGCACAAATGAAAGATTTAAAACCTTTTATTTTCCCTCCTCTACTTTTTAAAAATTTCTCCATTCTACTTTTAATAACTTTAATTTTAGCAACCTATGTGAATAATAGTTAATATTTCTGTGCCTTATAATTTAATTTCTTAGAACTCCATTCTCTTATATTTTCATTATTAGGCCTTTTTAGCATATTTATGGTATGTTAAGTGGTTGCTATCTGTACTAAATTAGCATAAACAGCTCTTTTTGCCTTTCTCTAAAGTTATATCTAGTATATCCATCCAACAGCATGTTCCTGAGATTTATTTCAGCGTTGTGTCTACCCTTTTGTGTATTCTACTTTTTCACCATATTTTCAGGTTCTATAAAAGATAAATAAAACTTGACATAGTTTTACCTCATGCTTGACATAGTTTTACCTCAACACTCCTTATAAGTAGTGTTTTGTTTTAAATAACACAGCATTATTAGGTGGCAATTTAGAAATGATTTGATAGACAATCGAGGATACCTGGGATGAGTATCTTTTCTTTTCAGATGCAAAGGCCCTAAGCCATCTCATTCCCCAAGTGAGCCCTGTCATGTCCCCTCCTCCTTTCTTCTAAAGCTGCTGCTTTCTAATAGGATGTGTCCTTTTGTAAAATAACAGGGTACTGAGATTCTGATTGTCCCTCATTTTCTAGGCCTAGTAGAGAAAGGAACGCTGATGAGGGAAGTGAGACATTCTGGTGTGGCCTTAGAAGCTGCAGCTGCTAAGGAAGAAGCTCAGGGAGTGTGGGAGACTCTGCTTCTTCAGAGTGCTTCCTTACAAGCTGCAAGGAAGAGGGAAGGCAGAGAGTGGTTCTGAAGCACTGTGGGTCTTTCTAGCATATTTCCCTCCAAACTCAGGGTATCAAGACTCCCAACATCCTCTCACAGTTGTGGAGGTTGTACCGTATTGGTATACTGAATGCACTTTTAATATTTTAAAAACACTTCACCAGGTATCATTTTTCATTTCTGTCCAGTAAAGACTACTTTCGTACACGTGTGTGTATGTGTGTGTGTGTGTGTGTGTGTGTGTGTGTGAGTGATGCTAGGTATCAAACTCAGGGCCTTCTGCATGCTAGGTAAGCACACTGCCATTGAGTTGTGCCCTCAGCCGAGTACTTGTTAAGCCAACTCTACTGGGTTAATTTTACAAAGAATAGATTTGTACTGTTGCTTTTCATCTTCTTTTCTATAACAACAGCTTTATGTACTGGGGCAGGAAGTATTTCAGCCGTACAGGAAGCATTTACATTAATTGGTTGTATATTGTGTGGAGTTCAACCTTTTTTAAATCTCTATGTTAAAGGAGTATCCCCAGAGCAACATATATCGAGTGCCTCCCGATTACTCGCCCATTTCCTCTCAAATGATGCGCCATCCTCAGTCCACCTTGTGGGGTTACACCCTCTCGGGCCAGCCCCAGCAGCCCGGCTTTTTCCTTCAGAGTCAGTCTCTTACTCCAGGTACGTGACAAGGGAAGATAGTTGGCTGGGCTGTAGCTTGGGGTTCTCTTATGTTTTAACCTGAAACCTTTCCAGAGCTTGGGAATTTGAACAATTAAGTATTCAGCTGACATTTTTATAATCCCCCCACTCAAGATGTGTTCATCTAAAATAAGGCTTCAATTGGGTGTGGTGGAATGTGTCTGTAATCTTAGGTACTTGTGGAGCTATGGTGGAAGGATTGCACCCAGGAGTTCATGGCCAGTCGTGGTAACCTCTTCTGGAAACAAATAAGACTGTTAAGTGCAAACCACAAAAAGCAAAGTAGACTTAGTGATAAATTTAGAAGACAAACAATTGTATTTTCTTTTTGACTTTTTTGAATCCCAAGGTCCATATGAAGTGTTTAGCTAAACTTTATGGATATCAAAGTGAAAAACACAAGGGCTATAAGTTGAACACTGTAAAAGCATGCACTCAAGACCTCTCCCTAGATGCCATGTAAGAAAATAGTTCTAGAGAAAAGAATTATTTTTGAAGATTATGTGAGTGAATTCATAGGATTTTTCTTTATGTGAAAATCTATGAAGTTGGGGAAGAGTATATATAGTGTGATTCCACTCATGCATAGTTTAGATGTAAAACAATCCCTCCCCATACCCACATATGCATATCTTACCTCTCATCACATACACACACACCCATGATTAAGCTGTAAGGAAAGGTGAGGGAATAATAAATATCATATTGGAATAGCACTTGGTAGAAGTTGAGAAAAATGATTAGGAATATACAGAGGACTTTAGGTATATTTATAACATTTTATTTCTTCATTTGGCTGGGGGGAAAAGTTATAGGGGTTAGGAAAATTGAAAGTAGATAAAGGGCCAGAAGTGGTATAATTCCAATATTCTTGGAGGCTGAGGCAGGAGAATCAAAAGTTTGAGCCTAGCTAGGGCAACTCAGCAACTTACTGAAACCCTGTGTTAAAAAATGAAAAGTTTTCAAAAGGGGCTTGGGCTGTAGCTCAATGTGAAGATCCTGGGTTCAACCCCCATTACAGAAAGAGGGAAAGGATAGTCTAATTTTTAAAAAAGTTTTCCCTTTTCTGTAAATGAATCAGTTATGCATTAGTATAGTTCCAGTTCTTGTTGTAATGAAAGTGCTTGGCACATGTTACTGAGTTCACTTTCCATTGCTTGCGGATGTTCTTCAAATGCCACCAAATGGCTTAATTAATCCTATTACTGACTGTGATACGAAGTTTTAAAAGTAATACAGGTTTTTCAAATGAGCACTTGTTCTTGGTGTTTTGAGACAGGATCTTGCTTTGTAGCTCAGGCTGGCCTTGAACTCACTGTGTAGCTTGGGCTGGCCTCCCAACTTTTGACCGTCCAGCCTCACCTCCCAAGTGCTGGGATTGCAGGTGTGTGCCACCATGCCCAGCTCAAGTGAACGCCTTTAAAATGTTTGTTTCCACCACAGAATTTGCTTTTAACAAAGAAAATATCTTTTGTGAGTAATTTATAGTTACTCTCTGTAATATTCATCCAAACATAGGCTGTGGTGAATGAAAGATTAGCGTTTGCTATGAAGCCAGCAAGTTGAAAAACTTTCTTGTAACTGATGAAAGCCCGTGACAAATTATATATGCAGATATGTTAAGGATTTCCTTTGGTTTCTTAAACAACAATATAGTCAGTGTTTCTAGTCTTACTTGATTTTAAACGTCAAAAGAAGAAATGGTTTTTAGAGTTGTGGTATTTGAAGTTTCCAAGTATTTCAAGTTTTCAAAGTATTTTCATGCCCTTCTATTCAAAAATAGACATTTTATTTTGCTGTGGTAAAGCAGTTAAAATAATAAGAGCTGTAGACTTATTTAAGAGACAAGTTTGTCTATGGCTGGCTTAGGTCGCCGGGCAAAGTACATCACTGAGCCAAATGTACTATGCAGGTAATAGTCCCTGAGTGCCTGGTATCACTTTGAACCCACAGAATTCCCAAACTATGTCCACTTCTTGTTTCTGGCATTTGGTTTCATCAGTTGTTGTGTGACCTGTATGAACCCATGTACAATTAACTTGTATATTGCCCTCTTCATCTTTTGAAAATGATAAACTTAACAGATCTAAACAGTCAGAGTGGAAGGGCAGTGCATTAGGATCCCTTTTGCTCATATTGTGAGACTGATTTAGAAGGTGAAATTTCTGCGTTTTTATAAAATAAGGAGAACTGGGTTTTTTAGCATTCAGAAAACCCTGGCTTTTTGTTGCTTTCGTAGGGGGCTCCAGATTGGACCCTGCTGGCTCCTTCGTTCCAACCAATACCAAACAAGCTCTGTCCAACATGCTGCAGCGCCGCTCAGGTGCCGTGCTGCAGCCGCCCTCCCTTCATGCCATCACCTCACAGCAGCAGCTGATCCAGATGAAGCTTCTGCAGCAGCAGCAGCAGCAGCGCCTTCTCAGGCAAGCCCAGGCTCGACCTTTCCAACAGGTTTGTTCAGTGCTGCAGTGCCACCTTCTGCACTTCATTGCCTCCTCCAGCTAGGGGTGGGCTTGGTAGGTGGCGTATTCTTCCTACATGCATATACCCAGACACTTTTATACAGACTTATAAATACCTGCTCTACTTTCTATTTTATTGTCATTGATCAAAGAAGTCAAAATACCATAGTTTATCACAACTCTCTTTCAAAATAAGTGCTACTGACTTGCTAGTCATTTGAAACTATCAAGTAAATTTTTAATTTTTTACTTCAAAATTGTGTCTCTGAAGCTCTGATATTCCTAGGTTTCTCCTACAGAATCTTGCTTGACGCTGTTTTTAGTGTATGATCTGCTCTGTAGCAGACAGTGACTAAGTAACACACAGCAGTCACTGTATGGACACATTTAATTCTTGATTCATATTATTCCTGTTTTTATGCCCTACAACTCAGTTTTCTTTTTAGATAATAATTGTGTTTAACAAAATATCAGTGAAAGTTGCTCCAAACTTGGTATAGACACATGGAAACTATGAATCTGTATAAGTACATTTATGTAAGGGTGAGGTGAGATTATGACTTTTTTCTAGTTTCTGTGATTATATATTTTCCATCTTTTATAAAATGAGCATGCACTAGTTTGATAATAATTGCTAACACTAATAGAGCACTTACTGTATGCCAGAACATTTCTAAACATTTTAAATGCATTAGTTAGCTCAGATCCCATGAGAACTCTAAGATGAATTAGGTACCTCTGATCCTCAAATGGAATAGCTGGTCTGGATTTGTGTTCTGCTTAAGAGAAGCCATAAGATTCTAAATTTTTTTTTTTTTTGTCTTTTGGATAACTTCTTAAACGTCTCTCTGTTTTATAATTCATGGCAATTTTGCATTTGAGACATGGATTTGGGGGAATTAAAGTGGAGAGATTATTCTTTAAAATAGTTCCTTTTTACCTGAGTTATAGGCAGGACAAGAAAGAAGAAAGTAGCCACAGTGCATGAGGGTATAAACAGCAGTTACTACATGCTTGTCTGTCTTGGCCTCTAGAGATTGCTTTAGCTCCCTGGGTGTCAGGGAGGGGAGGCCTAACTTGCTCCTAAAACATAATGATAAAATATTTAAAACTTACTGACTTTGCTACTATAAGCAACATTTTTGGAGCTATTTAAGACATCATTTGGTTTTAATTTTTATTGAAAATTAGCAAACATAGTTATGGCACTGCTTTAAGTCCTCATTGAGATGAAAGCATTTATTAGAAGTTGATAAGCCATTCTACTAGAAAAAATTCAGCTATCTTTTAAGGTAATAAAGCCTAAAAAAATTTACTTAATTTAGTGTTTCATATTTGCCTTTTTATCACACTGTATAATTTCCCTTGTCTGTAGCCCACTTTCAAACTGTTACTGCTGAATTCAGCTTTAATAACTGTAAGTGGTCCTAAGCCAGGGGAAAGTGCACTGGGCCATTTGCAGGCCAGCCTGCCTGCACTCAGAAGGTTCACTTCTTAATAACTGTGACAAACAATTTCACTTAAAACAACAAATTTTAAAAGGAATTTCATAAAACAATCTACAGGCGGTCAAGGGTATCTTTGCACATGTAAAGGAGACAGGTTGATGACCCCACGTGCACTTGGTCAATGCCCTTATCTCGCAGCTTCCTGGAGGCATTTAATGTACCAGCCGATATTCTTTTGTACCACTCAGAATTATACTGATTGTACTAACGGAAATTAGTGGTAGTCCTTATTTTCTTTCTGGTTTTTTCTTTTCTTTCCTGTCAGTATTGGGTATTGAACCCAGGGCCTTTGTACTAAGCTACGTCACCAGCTCCCTACTTTTTATTTTGGGACAGAGTCAGGCTAAATTCCCCATCTGAGGCTTGGACCTGTAGTCCTTCTGCTTCTGCCCTCCACAGTGCTGAGATTACAGGTGTGTGCCGGCGTATCCAGCTTATTATTTATTCTTTTGTACTAACTCTGTCTTAATGTTGGAACTTTCAAAAAATTTTTTCTAACGTTTAAGTTCATAAACATCAAGAAATAGTTCATTGTCAGCTTCACAGCTTCAGAACAATAATTGCTGTACAGTATTTATTTCACCTTCTCCCTTGACATGTCTCTAACAATTGAAACTTGCCTTGAAGTCTCAGCTGCTTTCTCTAGCAACATGCCTCTCACCCTGTCATAATTCTTCAAGTACTGGGTAACTGAGGAAGGTATTTTAACATCATGTATTCATGGGAGCAGCAATATTTAAGAGTAAGAAAGATTTACATGTATCATATACTGTATTTCGCCTGCAATTAGGTGTTCCTGTGGAAATGTAGTGCCTTTCCTCTGTCCTAATGGGTCCTGTGTGAGCTATTAATATACCTGGAATCTAGGCGAAAATGGTGCTGTGGCAGGAAAAATCCTCCTCATAATAATCCACATCTAAAGTAAAGGCAAAAATATATGGAGTATAAATAATATTGCTAAGTTGTATGTAGGTATGTATTTGTTTATTTATTTTGGGTACCGGGAATCAAACTTGGGACCTCGCACTTGCCAGGCAGGTGCTTGTGCCACTGAGCTATATCCCGAGCCCCAAAATTTTATTTATTTATTTATTTATTTATTGGCAAGTTGTTGTAGTATATAATGTTAGGCACAATTCATTACTTTTCTAAGTACTGATCATTTTATGATAAGAAACAATACAGAAATGTTGATTCTAATTTTGGAACTAATGTTTTCTCAGATTAAATACCAAGAAATGAGTTGAATTTCTTTTGCCATACAAAGGCTAGTAACTCCTCCCAGTTTTTGACTTCTTCTGGAGAAAATTAGATATTGTTTTTCTCCTTGTCTTTTGTAATTGCATTATTCCAGAAACCTGTTTCCTGTATTGTAGCAAGCTTATTGGAAAATTTCCATTATTCTTAATCTTCATGATTGACTGTGGAATTTCAGCAGGTCTTTTATAGCGTGATTAATTTCTCCAGGCTTTGGGTGTGACTGTTTCCAAGGGCAGTTTTTCAGTAACCCACTTTCTTTTGAGGTCAAGCATTAGGCTTCTTAATATCTTGTACACTGTATCATCGTTTCATCTACTAGCACAGATACAAATCTATGACATATCAAATGAGCAGCTATTTTCAGAAGCCTAGAACTTCCTGGTAGCCTGAGTCCTTAGCAAGGTAATTTTTATCCACACACTCAGCTGTCACTCTGGGTGCTTTCAGAGGACTCACCCCTGCAATGACCTCTGCTGTGGCTGTCTTCAAAACCTGGATGCAGCAGAGGAGATACAAATTTCTGAATTTATGTTGCAGTCCTTTTGCTCTTCCTACCTAATTAGATTAATGTAGTAATCGTTTACTCAGTGGCAGTAGTACAACAAGCTAATAAAAATGTGTAGTTCTTCTAGGAGTTCTTTTGGTTTCTTAGAGTATGTTTTCATTGTCTAAATTCTGTGACACAAACTTTAGAGGGACCCATTCCAATTTCAGTGTGGAAACTATCTTACAGTGTGGTATTTTATTTTTTGTATATCCTATGGGAACTATCAAAAAACATACAATATTGATTTTAATAATACAAAACATTACTTGCATTATTTTCCCAGTCATTTCTTTCCTATACTCAGTGCTTTTCTTCTGAGAGCAGGAACTTTTTTCCCTATCTCTACAATGTCAATCATTTAAGGAAAAGCCTTTCAGAAAGAACCTTAAGTTTTGATGCAGAAAAGGGGCCTTATTTGGAGGTGTTTTAGCTGAATTTCTTTCTCTCAGTGTATGAAACTATTCTGCTATTGTTTGCAGTAATTTGTACCTGACCATTTATTTTAAGAATCCAAACGAAGACAGAGGTAAGAGTCTAGCTTAAATTGATTGAGACAGGTTTGGCAGAAAGCAGTTTGGTACAAGCTACCAGTTACGAATCATAAAGATTTCCATGAAAGTGAAGGGAAGATTTCTTACAGATTGGAACAATGCCCAGGGATAGCTAGTGGGAGCTTATAAGTAGATTAGGTTATCACCTGTGGAGCAGGTCTCATCATTTGTGTATCCAAATGAAGGAATTAGGTAATCAAAGGAAGGAAGGACTATTAGGTCAGAATTCCCAGAATTGGTAGCTTGTTGGCAAAAGTGTACCTGTGACTTCATTAAAATAAACTTTTTTAAGTTGATGAGGCACATTTAAGTTGGGCAGACAGCCTTGGTTCAGTGACGGATCTCATACCCTAAGGATATGTTACCAGTTTGGATTATGTTACCTTTCTTTCTTTTCCTCTTCCCCTCCCACTCGCTCTTTAGTGATGTATTTCAAGAATATAGATGAGACTATAATAAAATAAACGCAAATGTACCTATCCCCATCTAGTTTTATTAAATACTAGTGTTCTGCCTATTTATGGCAGATCGTGTCATGAAAAAAATCACACATATGAAAAAGGTTCCTTGTATTTCCTTCCATTTCCCTCCCTTCATATGAAGAAGCAGTCACCTCCATGAGTGTAGTATTTTTTCTTTCTTCGTGTTTTTATACTTTACTACATATTTTTGTATCTGTTTACATGAACATTGTACAGTAGTGCTTTACTTATTTGAAATGATAAAAATGGTATCACATATGTTTTTTTATTCAAACTCATGTGGCTGAGTTTTGAATTATATTCACTTTGTTACACATTGTTTTATTCATTTGTTTGTTCTGTTGATTGCCATTTCATTTTGGATATTAACATGTTATTTACCCATTCTCTTGTTGATGGCCATTTAAGGTATTTCCAGTTTTTTTCTTACTGTTAATGCAATAGTAAACATTCTTGTGTATTTCTTCTACACACATTGAAGTAAAAAAGTAGAAGTAAAAAAGTGCAATCTTGATTTCCAAAATTGTGTTGATTCCCTTTAGTAATAATGAATATTTTCCTTTTTCTGCATCCTCACCAATCCTTGATATTAGTAGACCTTCTTTTTCCCAATCAGAGCAGGTACAATTGTATTGTGGTAT